TGCCCCCCAGCACCCCCTAGTGCCCCCAGCACCCCCTGCAGCACAGCACCCCCTAGTGCCCCCAGCACCCCCTGCAGCACAGCGCCCCCTAGTGCCCCCCAGCACTCCCTGCAGCACAGCACTCCCTAGTGCTCCCACCATCCCTGCAGCACAGCGCCCCTTAGTGCCCCCAGCACCCCCTGCAGCACAGCACCCCCTAGTGCCCCCAGCACCCCCCTGCAGCACAGCACCCCCAGTGCCCCTGCAGCACAGCACCCTCTAGTGCCCCCAGTGCCCCCAGCACCCCCCTGCAGCATAGCACCCCCTAGTGCCCCCAGAACCCCCTCCAGCATATCGGTCCCTAGTTCCCCCAGAACCCCCCTGCTGCACAGCGCCCCTAGCGCCGCCCTGGGACATTGGGGTCAGCACTGACTCCCAGAGGAACATGTCCCCCCAGTACAATCCCCCCTGCGCAGCACCCGGGGTTTCCCCTTGCTGCTCTCCCAGCCACGGACTGACCCCTCCTGGCCCTGCCTCGCATGAGCTACCCGGGCTCTGTGCTGCGGCCTGGCTGGGTGGCGGGGCAGAGGCTGTGGGAAGCCACCTCCCCGCCAAGGTGTGATAGTCCCCATTGCCCCTCACCATTCCTGCTGCAGGGGATGGGAGCAGGGTCTCCGCCTGAGTCAATCCCCGCTTGGCTTCCCCCGCAGGCCGCTTGGAGGGGCCGTTCCGCTCGGCGCGGGCACAGCCAGGAACCCTCGACTCTGCCCTGGCTAAGCCAGGAGACACCTTGGCCACGTCTCTGTCCTGCCCAGGTGTCACCGCGTGACCGTCGCTGTCCTGGGCTAGCACCACATGGGCCAGCCTGGGCGAAGAGGAGGCCCTGGGGGGGGTCTTGGATTTAAAAACTCCCTGAGGTTACGGGGGGGAGGGAGCGGGTGTACCCCTGCCGTGCCTCCGTCCTGTGCTCTCCCCACCACTTCCAATCACCCCTGTGCCCCATAGTGCCCGACCCCCCAATTGCCAGTCCCCAGCCCCACCTGGGGGGCACCGCAGTCATGCGCAGGGGTGAAATGGTGGCACTTTCGAGCCACCAACTGTCAGTACACGTGTAACCTTCACGGAGTTTTTTACTGGAGCCATTTTGTTGCCTTGGTTTGCCCAGGTACTGTGCACGGCCGGCTCTGCACCGCTGGCGTCAGCAGGAGTGGGTGGACTCGGAGCGGGGGCACTGGGGCTCAGGACGCCTGGGTTCTCTTCCTGCCTTTGCGGCTGGCTGCCCTGGGGTGGGTGGGCAGAACATCTTGCAGATCCAGCGTTTCCTCCCGCTTGGGGGAGAGCGCCCCCTACTGAGACCCCCTCTGCCCCTTGCAGCACAGTGCCACCTACTGAGCCCCCCTCTGCCCCTGTGCATGCTGCCCCCTACTGAACCCCCTCTGCCCCCTGCAGCATGGTGTCCCCCTACCGAGCCCCCCATCTGCCCCCTGCAATACAGTGCCCCCTACTGAGCCCTCCCTCTGCCCCCTTCATTCCAGCGCCCCCTACTGAGCCCCCCTCTGCCCCCTTCATTCCAGGTCTGCTTGCTGAGCCCCCCCTCTGCCTCCCTGCAGGACAGCACCCCCTACCACGGTCCCCATCTGGCCCCTGCAGCACGGTGCCTCCTACAGAGTTCCCCCACCCCCCGCCGGCCTCTGTGCTACCGTAATACTCATAATAAATAAAGTACAGCCCCTAGCATGATGAGGTGTATTACGGTAGTGCTACCAGCACTACCGTAATACACCTAATAAATAATAACACAGAGTACTTTAGCAGGGCCAACCGCAGCTCTTCAAAAATCACGAGTCAGGTGAAAAAAACCACTGGAGATTTGCTTAAAAAGCACAAGAGTTTTTACAGATACATCAGTTTTCGGATCTTTTTTATTTGCCTTCAGTTTCTTTGGTTTCTTTTTTTCCGAATCTTTCAGGGTCACAGTTGCAGGCATTTCTGGGCCACCCCAAGGGCTAGAACCGGCCTTGTTAACTGAAAATCACAGGACTCCAGAAGCTGGGCGGGGGGATGGGGGGGATGGTGTTCCGAAACAGCTCCCTTGCCCCAGCTTGGCACCATCGTGGTGGGGTCTGGGGTTTGGTGGGAACCCAGCCCCTTGGGCCTCCTCAGCTGTCCCCCACCCTGTGTGTGTGTGTGGGGGGGGTGAGCTGGGGGAGCAACATGGGTCAGAGAGACCAGATCCCCCTATCAGTGACAGCCCTGCTGCCCACAGACACCCATTGGGAAAGTGTGTCTGATTCTCAGACCCCCTCCCCCCCAGCCAGCCAGTCTCCTCCCTGGGGGCAGGTGGGAGCCAGCACCCCCTAGAGGGGAAAGGCCCCATGTCCCATTCCCCATCCCCTGAGCCAGCCAGTCCCCGCCCTAGGGCCAGGTTGCAGGCTGACCCCCAGTTGGAAATCGTATTCTCTATGCCCCTCTGTAGCTTGTCAAAGGGTTTTCTTTTTTTTAAAGCTCTTTTCCTTGTAATTCTCCCTGTGTTTCCCTGACACCTGGGGGGGGGGGGTGTATTCCAGACCTTTGGGGGGCGGGAGTTAATTTCCCCACTCCCCCTGTCCTGGCCCTAACCAGAGCCTTGTTATGCCAGATGGCTTCAGAGACGGCTCTGGATTTCCAGGCTCAGGGAGACCCTTCGATTTCCAGTGAGGTGACACTAGATTTTTGTACCTTTGGTTTTACTCACTGCAGGGCTAGAAAGCAGAGAGTGAAATTAATCATCTGGGGCAGATGTGGGGGGGGGGGCGGGGTGGATGGGTAGAAAGGAACAAGGATCTGAGCACGCGGCATTTGGTTCCAGCCCATCACTGGGTAATTTCTTAGGGATTGGCTACACTTGCAGATGTCGAGCACTGTGAGTTAAACCCGCCTTTGGAGAGTGCAGTAGGGAAAGCGCTGCAGTCTGTCCACACTGACAGCTGCTTGCGCACTGGCGTGGCCACATTTGCGGCACTTGCAGTGGCATTGGGAGTGGTGCATTATGGGCAGCTATCCTAGCATGCAAGTGACTGCAACGCGCTTTTCAAATGGGGGGGCTGGGGTGGAGTGTGACAGGGAGTGTGTTGTGTGTATGTGGGGGAGAGAGAGTGGGGTTTTGGGGGGGCTGAGAGGATGTCAGCGTGCTGTCTTGTAAGTTCAGACAGCAGCAGACCCCCTCTCTTCCCCCGCCTCTCTCGCTCACACACAGCATTCCACAGTAACGGCTTGCATTGCCGGCTGTCAGAAACGGAGCTTTGAAAGGGCATTTCTGCTTTCCTACAGGAGTTCAAAACAATGACAAGCGTGGCCACTTGACTTAAGGGGATTATGGGACGTTTCCGGAGGCCGATCAGAGCGCAGTAACGCAACACCTCATTCACACTGACGCCCGGGCGTTGTACCAAGGCACAGCAAACGTTATTCCTCTCACCGAGGTGGAGTACCAGCAGCGCTGTAGCCGCGGAGTCAGAGCGCTCTACGTGCCTTGCCAGTGTAGACGGGGAGTTAGCTAGGGCGCCCGGGGCTGCTTTATTGTGCTGTAACTCGCAAGTGTAGCCAAGCCCTCTGCAAACAAGCAAGCTCCCAGCTCAGTTCAGCCCTGAGCAGGCCCGATTCTCCACTGCCCGGCGGGCCCCCACGGTATCCGGGCCTGATCGGAAATGGGCACATCAGACAGCTGGAAACAGTGGTTTAGTAGCAGTGGCTATTTTCAATGAGCCAGTGTCGATTTTGACCAAGATTTTCCATCTTATGTTGAGTCAAAACCCAGCCCTCTGAGACGTCCCCAACAGTTCCTCCAAACCACTTGGATCTTTCCACCTGGCCATTGCTATGCACCCTCCCTACCATGAGACGTGTCAATATTTCTCCTCTTCCTCACGAGTTGAGGGGTGTGACGGGTTGGATCACAGAAACCGCCTTGGGAGCTGCCACCCGCTGTGCCAAGACTACTTCTACCCCTGCCTTCCCTGCCAGCTCGGGGCCCCAGCACCCTGTCTTGCTGAGCCAGACACTCCCATCTGCTCCAACACAGACCCAGGGGCTGACTTACTTGTCCCAAAGTTTCAGGTTTACCTGAAAGCAGCTAACAGAAGTGTTCCTGTCTTTAACACTCAGATGCCCAACTCCCAATGGGGTCTAAACCCAAATAAATCCCTTTTACCCTATATAAAGCTTATACAGGGTAAACTCATAAATTGTTCGCCCTCTATAACACTGATAGCGAGATATGCACAGTTGTTTGCTCCCCCAGGTATTAATACATACTCTGAGTTAATCAATAAGTAAAAAGTGATTTTATTAAATACAGAAAGTAGGATTTAAATGGTTCCAAGTAGTAACAGACAGAACAAAGTAAGTCACCAAGCAAAATAAAATAAAATGTGCAAATCTATGTCTAATCAAACTGAATACAGATAATCTCACCCTCAGAGATGCTTCAGTAATTTTTTTTCTCAGACTGGACACCTTCCAGGCCTGGGCACAATTCTTTCCCCTGGTACAGCTCTTGTTCCAGCTCAGGTGGTAGCTAGGGGATTCTTCATGATGGCTTCTCTGTCTCTTTGTTCTGTTCCACCCCTTTATATATCTTTTGCATAAGGTGGGAATCCTTTGTCCTCTCTGGGTTTCCACCCCCTCCTTCTCAATGGAAAGACACCAGGTTAAAGATGGATTCCAGTTCAGGTGACATGATCACATGTCACTGCAAGACTTCATTGCATATACAGGAAGACTTACTGGTAAAACACAGCCATCTGCAGACAATTGTCCTGGTTAATGGGAGTCATCAAGATTCCAAACCACCATTAATGGCCCACACTTTGCATAATTACAATAGGCCCTCAGAGTTATATTTCCTATTTCTAGTTTCAGATACAAGAGTGGTACATTTATACAAATAGGATGATCACACTCAGTAGATTATAAGCTTTGTAATGATATCTTACAAGAGACCTTTTGCATGAAGCATATTCCAGTTACATTATATTCACTCATTAGCATATTTTTATAAAATTATATAGACTGCAACTGTCACAGGGGGAATATTGGACTCTGAACTATTCCTGACCGGGACAGTCAGCACATTTTATTTCAGGTCAGCTCCATATCCAGCTGCATCTCTTGAGCTCCTGCAGTGTCTCATGGGAGTTGTAGTTCAACTCCCTTGTGCCCCCATGCACCCCTACAGGTTGGGCTTCCCAGCTGGACTACATTTCCCATGATGCACCCTGGTCATTTGCCCTCCATCATTACTTGTGCATCATGGGAGATGTAATCCAGCCAGGAGCCCAGCTCTTAAAAGACGCATTATAGTGTTAGACTCCAGGAGCTCAATTGATTTAGCTTCAGGAGTGACCTGGTCACAGTCTGTAAGTACCGACATGTGGAACAAATATTTAACAATGGGCTCTTCTATCTAGCAGAGAAAGGTCTAACATAACCAATGGTTGGAAATTGAAGCTAGACAAATTAGGACTGGGAATAAGGTGCACATTTTTAACAGGGAGGGCACCGCGGACACACCAGGGACACAGATCACTGCTGAACTGGCACCAAATGAAACAGTCCAATTTGGCTCCCCCAAAATGTTTTGTTTCGAGTTGACTGAAGCCAAAACGAGCTATTTCACTGAGTCTTTCCTGGTGGAAAACCAGGGGGGGAGATGGCAAAAAAATGGATATTTACCTGAGAAAAGTTTCATTTTTGTGGCAACGGCATTTTCTGTCGAAAAATGATTGGGGTGGAACATTCCCATCTGACCCCAGCCCCCTCCAGCCTCCAGCCTTTGAACTAATCAGTCTGGTCCATTAGGAAGAGGAACGTGCGTTTGATGCTGAGCGATCCAGTTTAGTCCCAGCAGAGGACCGACCAAGGGACATGGTGATATCTGCAGCAGGGCGAAGTGGCTGTGAAAGGCTCCCAGGTCCGGAGAGTTACATTTTCCACCCCCGTCCCCGGTGAGAAGACCCCGAGCTCAGCCTCAGGACCAACGGGAGTTGGGCAGCTCAGGTTCGAGACGAGATTCCAGGAGCATCCGGGGGCGTCAGCTGTTTCATCACTGTCCGTATCCAGCGGACGAACCGGGAGACTCTTGCATACACTTCAGGAGAGGCCCCGTTGCTCGGCCCCCATGAGACGATGCCCTGGGGCACCCCATCGCAAACCAGGGGGCCCCCTGAATCACCCTGTGAAATGAAACATGCCTCAGAGGAGTAATGCCTTGTGTGCTTCACTTGTCGCTGTCACACACACAGTCCCCCCATCCCCGGCCCAATGTCACCTTCCCTCCATGCCCTCAGCACTGGAGATCTGAATTTGACCCTCCCCGCTCCCAGAGAATATACCAGAGCAGCCCTCCCTCCCCCCCTCCCCGGACGGCGGGATCTTTACCTTCAGGGTGGCTTTCTTGCCTCTGGGATCCCCCGCACAGAGCATGGACTTAGCATCATATGGTTTGGTCAAATTGCGTTCACACACCTCGTCGGCCATCACCTCCAGAACCACATCCTGCAGCACGTCCGAGCTCTTAGCGGGATTAACTTGCATCCAGCCCCACCCAGACATGTTGCACCTGGTGCCCACAGGTACCTCCGGCCAGGGGTGGGGCAGAGGGATGGGCTGCACCCAGTCATTGAGTTCAGCCCTCTTTCTCAGCTGCCGTGTGAGGGACAAGAGAGTCGGATGCAAGGGAGACGTAAACAGACCAGAGTGCAATGGAGAGTATCAGGGTGATGGGACGGGGGCAGTGCCTGCAGCAGTGTGAGGTCACTGGGGGCGGGGTGATGGGATGGGGGCGGTGTCTGCAGCAGTGTGAGGTTACTGGGGGTGCGGTGATGGGATGGGGGCAGTGCCTGCAGCAGTGTGAGGTCACTCAGGGCAGGGTGATGGGATGGGGGTTGTACCTGCAGCAGCATGATGTCATTGTTTTGGGTCATTTTGTTATATTTGGGGTGGCGGATCCAGCGCCTCACTCTAATTTTCTGACTCCTTGGTTCTCTTGGTTCTTTCTTCCGAATGTTGTGGGCCCCCAGCACCACGATGCCTTTGCTGCCCGGACACACAGAGACCAGCCAGGCGTCAGTGCTGAGCACACCCCAAGAGACGTCTCTCCCTTCGGGAGCCCCTCCCATCTCCACATATCGGTGCTGCAGTCACGGGGGGGGTCTAGGGCTTCCGGACACTCTGACCACTTTGGGAATGACCAGCCCTGAACCCCTTTTCTGAATAATGCCATAGTGCACGACACATCGCATCTGGGGGAACTCGAGGGCACTGGGTGGCTGAGGGGGGCAGGGAATGGGACACAGAGCCTTTCCCCTCTAGGGGGTGCCAGGCTGCCTGGTATCCCCATGGTTGGGGTATTCCCCTATGCATGGGATCCAGCTGATCCATGGCCTTGTGATGGCACTGGAGCGGCTGGCTGGCTGGAGCAGCATCGTCACCGGGAATTGAGACCTCAAGCGTGGCTCTGCAGAGGTTGAGCTGATCCCCTGGTGGGTGGGATGGGGGAGGGATCCTTACCTCCTCTTCACTCTACAGTGAGCCGCTGTCACCACCATGTCGTCCCGGATCAGGAACCCCCCGCAGGTATTCACGGGTTCGAAGCATCTTTTTATCTTCAGAAAGGCCATGTAGGGTCTGGAGTGGGGCACAGCTTCCTGTCCCCCGACGATCCCCCCTGGGAGAAAGACAAGGGATGGGTTCAAATCCACCGCTTGGGAAAATGTGAGGCTGGGAAATCAGCCCCTTCCCATCCCCCTCTCCACATCTGTGGGGAATTTTGGCACCCACATCTATCCCCGACCATCTGCGACAGCAAGTTTCAAGTCGCCCTAGAGATTTTGGTTTAATGGGGCCATTATACCTTTATTTTGGGCCATTAAACCTTTACAAATGGGCCAAGGCCGGGATGTGTGAATCTTTCATGATGGCTTGATGAGAACTGGATTGGCCCAGAGAGATCAACACGCATTTCTGAGACACGCCTTTGGGCCGTTCGCACTGGAGCATCTCAGTGCTTTTGGGGCCCCTTTCTAGAGAAATCTGAAACACTCTGGGGCTCGGCACCTCCTGGGCTGAGTCCAACCGTTCTTAGACCTCTGATAATGAACATGTTTTTATCAATGACTTTGAAGAAACAAATAAAATCATCGCAGGTAAAGTTTACAGATGACACAAAAGAGAGGGGAGTGGTAAATAATGAAGAGGACGGGTCAGGGATGCAATCTGGAGTGTTTGGTAAACTGGGCTCAGGCAAACAACATGCATTTTCCTATGGCCAGCGATAAAGGCAACATCTAGGAGCACAGGATTTTGGCCACATGTATGGGATGGGGGACTCAATCCTGGGACGCAGTGACTCAGAAAAACCCTTGGGGTTGGGGCAGATAGTCAGGTGACCATGAGCTCCCAGTGCGACGCTGCGGCCAAAAGTGCTAACATGATCCTGGGATGCAGAAACAGGGAATCTCCAGTAGGAGCAGAGAGGTTATTTTACCTCTGGATTTGGTGCAACTGCTGCTGGAATCCTGAGTTCAGTTCTGGTGTCCACAATTCAAGAGGGATGTTGGTAAATTGGAGAGGGGTCAGAGAAGAGCCACAAGAATGGTTAGAAGGTTAGAAAACCTGCCTTAGAGTGATAGACCCAAGGAGCTTGATCTATTTTTCTTAACAAAGAGAAGATTCAGGGGTGACTCGATCACAGTCTCTAAGTACCTACCTGGGGAAAAAATAGTAAATAATGGGCAGAGAATCCATCCGGGAAAAGTCTAACCCGACCCAATGGTTGGAAATTGAAACAAATTCAGACTGGAAATGAGATGCAAATTTTTAACCATTAGAGTTAGTAACCACTCGAACAATGGCTGGATGGACTCTCCATCGCTGGCGATTTGTAAAATCAAGCTGGGCTGTTTTTCTAACAGGAATTAATGAGGGCAGGTCTCCGGCCTGTGTCCTGCAGGAGGCCAGACGAGATGATCACATGGACCTTCTGGCCAGAGAGTTGACGACTCTACAAACAATATCCCTCACATGAGATAACTGCAAATACCTTCTCCAAGCCACTCCTGCTGCCCATAGCAGTGGCCATGTTACTGACCCGGGGCCAAAGCGCTGTGCTATTATTGATCGAGGTCTTAAAAACCATCCCAGAGGAACGGAGGCAGGTCTGTGATGTGGCAAACCCCCCTCCTCTCCATCGCCAGGTGGCTGCTTTTGTGGCCAATCTGCTGGGGGCTGACCCGGGGACCTCCCCAGCTAAACCATGAGCTGCTACAGCTTGAGAAAAAGCTCTCGTCCCCCCTGTGGACTGGCATAGAAGGGCACCTGTCATACACACACAGCTGATGATCGTGAAGGCATAAGCCACCCCCGCCTCCCAGATCCCAGGGGAGAGCCCAGCTTTCTTGGCCACTCCATTGCTGCTCCTGACTAGCAAAGCGCACCATGACTCACTGGGACTTATCCACCAGCTGGTCCACCACGGGCCCAGCAGTTACTCCTTTGTCGAGCAGCAGGGGCAAAGGCTGGGACTTGGCCATGCTGCATCTGGGGCCAGCGCAGGAGGAGATGACCCCAGCTGGAGTCGTGGGGCCTGAGGACAGAAGCACCCCACCCAGTTCTCCTCCAGCCCCCACGCCGCTCTGCTGAGGCCAGGGAGATGGCTGGGCCGGTGCCCGAACACTCTGCTCCCTGTGGGTCTTATCTGCTCACACACAACCCTCCCCCAGCCCGCGAGACTCACCAGCCTCTGCCCCGGGTGGCAGGATTCGCCCGAGAAAGGCTGCAGGGAGCAGGAACAACAGCATCCTTACTGCAAGCTCAGGGACGGTGCATCTGCCTCAGCCCCGAAGTGTTGCACAGACCGGCTCGGGGCAGAGGTGTGGGGGACAGGAAACCTCAGGGTGACATTTGCACCAGCCAGGCAGTGGCTCAGCTATCTCAGTTCCTGGAAACCCATCACATGGGCTGGGGGGTGCAGTACAGACCCAGCTGGGTCCAGACCCCTCCACAGCTGGGAACGCTTGGCCCCTGGAGCCCTGCCCGTCCTGGTGCCAGGCCAAGCTGGGGCTGTGCCGAGTGGGGACTCCCCCCCATGCCCCGGGCAGCCATGAACAGCTGAGTACAATGCACATATGGCACTGGAGGCGACTCAGCTGCTAACCACAGCTTTAGCTCTCGCCCCAGCCCGGCACGACTGTGGTGGAGGCTTCTGGTGGGAACCGGCCCTGTCATAAATATAAAGGGAAGGGTAACAACCTTTATATATGCAATAACATATGTGTCCTAAAAACCCAAGGGTCTGGTCTGTGCTCACCTTGTTTACCTATTTGGTTGGTATATTATTCTCAAGCCTCCCCAGGAAAGGGGGTGAAGGGACTTGGGGGAATATTTTGGGGAAATGGGAACTCCAAGTGGTCCTTTCCCTGAATCTTTGTCTAACTCACTTGGTGGTGGCAGTGATACCGTCCAAGGACAAGGAATTTGTGCCTTGGGGAAGTTTTTAACCTAAACTGGTGGAATATAAGCTTAGGGAGTCTTTCACGTGGGTCCCCACATCTGTATCCCAGAGTTCAGAGTGGGGAGAGAACCCTGACAGGTCCCTTGGTCCTTCTCAGCTGTCCCCTGCCCTGTGGGGTGCTGTGAGCTGGGGGAGCGATGTGGGTCAGAGAGACCAGATCCACCCGTCTGTGACAGCCCCGCTGCCCACAGACCCCCCCCAATGGGGGGAAAGAGTGTCTCTGATTATCAGCTCTGCCGAGCCAGCCAGTGCCTGCCCTGGGGGCAGAATGGGGCCGGTGCCCCAGGAGGGGAAAGGCCCCATGTCCCATTCCCCGCCCGCCTGAGGCAGCCAGTCCCTGCCTTAGGGGCAGATTGGGGACGGTGCCTCCTAGAGATGACATAGCACAGGGAGGGGGAATGACAGATACCAATGGACAGAGGGGTGTTTTTGGGGCTAGGGAGATAGCTAGGTAGATGGGGATGAGGATGGATAGACAGATATGGAGGGGGATGGGGGATGTATAGATAGATGGATGCAGATAGATAGATAGATGGAGATGCCTAGATAGGGGATGGATGGGGATGGGGGTAGATGGATTTTTCATGGCTAGAAGAGACTGTGTCAAACCTGTCCCATGTTTGTCCTAGAAGCCAACCCCCCAGTGAACTGCGGCGATCCCAGCCAAGCCCCACAAGGAGGCTGCAGCATCCTGGGGGATGCCCTACAACCCACCCCTCCCACCTGGACCCCCTGTGGGGCTGTGCAGCACAATCAGCTGGGGCGTGGGTGCAGCCTGGCCATAGCCTCTCCCCCCTCCCCCATCATGCCCCCCAGCCCATGCACAGATCTCCCTGCCAGCTCCGGAGTCCAGACAGCTCAGGCTGCTTTTCTCCTGGTGATTCCCTCCACATCTCGGTCCCAGCCAACAGGGCTCCTCCTGCCCTGAAGGGGAGGGGGCATTCCCCCCGACGCCCTCCCGCTCCCTGTTTTGCTGGAATCAATGAACCCAGGTGTCCTGGGTCCCAGCCTTCCCCTGTCAGGGCGAACTCCCTCCCAGGCCTGGGCCGACCCAGGCTTTGGACTTAACTATCTTGAGAAATTTTGTATCATCTGCAAATTTTGACATCTCCCTGTCTACCCCTTTTTCCAGATGTGGGCTCCCTATCCCACCTAGCTGAGTCAGAGTCCACCCGATAAAGATTAATTCCTTCCTTGGGTCTTTGGGCGTCCTGCACATTGCCAGCTCCCATCTAGTCCCAGGGTGGGGGGCTGGGCAGCTCAGGGGGGGCGGGGACGGGTGGGTTTCTTACCCCTGCTCGTCATTACAATGAGCCGCCGTCAGCACCACGTCATCCCGAATCAGGAACCCCCCACACGTTTTCACCCCTCTCCACGTTGCTATCTTCACGTAGGCCATGTAGGGTCTGGAGTGGGGCCGGGCTTCCCATCCCCCAATGATCTCCCCTGGCAGGGAGACAGGGAGGGGTGAAAATCACATGCTCTGGGACAACCTGTGTCTGGAGAATGTAACCAAGTACCGCAGGTCCAATCATGAGCCCTGATCAGCCTGTGGACCCGGACAGCCCAGCCTCCCGCTCCCTCCTCTCCAGATCAGCCCCTCAGCACCCCCGCTCTCCCCTCCCCTCCCCCTGGATCGGCCCCTC